CCCCCCCCCCCCCCCCCCCCGCTTCTTCGATTAAGAGCGCTCCTTTGAATAAGGCCCGAATTTTAAAATATTCGAGGAAATGCGATGAGTCCCTCTCTTCTACTCTTTAAAAAAGAAAGTTATGGTTGGCATCAGATTGTGTTTAGTTTTAGATGGCAGACTGTATGCTAGCCCGGAATGTTTAATAGAGTGTTATAAATTATACTTAACAACTATTCGCGTTTTTAAGGTGATGCTAATTTATTGCCCTAATTTGAAAAGTGATCTCAAAGTCACTTTAATAAAAGCTTCTGTGATACTACATATTTAAGACACCTATAAGTTTTGTTTAAAACCTTAGAACCGCTTTCTCACGCAAAGCAGAGCGCAATATAATTATGACCCGGGGCGAATTTTTTAGTATGGTATATTTGAAAGCTTATTCTCTAACTAAGTATGTTGCAAACTATCACCATTGCGATAGTGATAATGCTCAACAATATTACAAGAATCTTAACCCTCAAGGTCTTAGCGACAACTACAGTTTTGCTATTTTGTCAGAATCTGTCATGAACTGTCACACTTCAGTGGAGTCAATATTTTGAAAATTCACTGCCAGCCCAGTGCAACAAGACCGAGAACAAAATGAGCATGAGCGATTGTATTGCTTGATGACCACATACGTGGACTACACGTATGACAGAGTAAATAAGAAACATTTGGCTCGTTTTAGTATAGTTCAGTTTAGTTCAGTTTAGTTCAGTTACTTTTGAACTAATTAATTCATTACTAAATACTGGATGACTCACAAATTATCCCAAATTCGGTAAATGAGTCAGTAAATCAACATAACATAATGGCTTAAATGTGTGTCCCAGTTGACAGTACTTTTCTACTTTCCTTAGTTGCGACTCTTAAACATTATAGTTAGCCTACAGAATGCCACAGATCACATACAAACTTGAGACATACCAATACAGTATCAGATCTACCCTCGCTTCATTATGCTTCAACCTCCCCGACGGAATTAATTTGCCCTTCAGGCTGCTACACTTGATCGGTATTATTTTATAGACCATCTGAATCCTTATACAAAAAATAGGAGCGAGTAAGTCTCATAACGGCTCCAAGAACAGCAAATAAACAGACACAGATGGTGACTGGTAAGGAGTACCAGGTGTGAGGGAAATGACTGTAATAAAACAACAGGATCATGATGATGTTTTCTATCACAAACAGCACGTTGGAGACCAACTGCGTTCTAAAACTGCGTAACAAATCATCTCGTAGCCAATGGCTGCAGGAAAAAAAAGCCGTAAAAAATGCGCTGTATTTGTCGAAGCTTTGTCGTCCCCGCCAAACGTCAAGTATCGTTATCACCGTACAGTGAAAGATCAACACACTGGTAACCCACCACTTGTAGCTTACAGTGAACAGAGCAACAGCAAAGAGTCTACTGCTTAAAATAAATAAGTGCGTTACAAAATGTAGAACTCTCTCTTTCACGCTGAAATCAAGGTCTTCTACGGGACTGTAAGAAAACTCATCGCCAACAGTAGAAGCCCAAGCCAAGCTGAGGAAGGACACGGGCAGGGAAACCATTTGAATGATCGACACCGATTCCTGTTGAACAACCATGGCGTACAGCTGAATAATAAACTGAGGAGCTGATTCAAGAGCGGCCTCGACTAGAACAGCAACTTTGGTCCCGTCCAGTAGCTCATTCAAGTCTTCATCCGTTAGATAGGTGTTATTACTTTGCCTGCGTTTTAGTAACTTCTTTAGATAGCAATAAAGCGTTCGCAGTTTCAGCCAGGCGGGAAGGAGTGGATTGCATCCGAGGACTAAAACATGTATGAAGTTGCAAGCCTCAGACTGCCATTTACTCCCTGTAACCTTGTTAACTTCGTAGTTAACAACAACAAAAAACACACTTGGCAAAATAACGAATGTAAGCCCTACACCGAACCATGTCTTGTGATCTGCGCGGTAGAATTCCACCAGTGTAAGAATATCAGTTATGGGGTCAGCAATGCTTAAAATGATTCCAAAAAGAACCTCCAAGATGCTGTACCATTTGATTTTTTTCGCCATTACTTCGACCTTTCTGACTCAGCTGCTGACTGCACAAATAAATAAAGAACGTCCTGTCTCGTTGACTCGTGTTTGGGTGAGTTGTGAGCTATGTGACCCATAAAATGCACTCATTGAAATAAAATGGAATTCGTAGTGAATGGCAGTTTTTACAAAAGAGTATTAAACAAACTATCCAGTAACATGTGATCATAAATCATTATAAGTGACTGTTGGACGCTTTCCATTCAGACCAAAATTCCGGAAATTTCGGTTAGAAATCAAATGAGTCTCAAATGGAACGGATCATTTTGGTTCGGTCCGACCAGAATATTTGGGACTACCCCTAAATATGGTCCAATTTGATCGGTCCAACTGGGTTCCTTTCCATTTGCCAAATCGTTGTACCTAGTACCGCTCTTCTGTATCCTGCTTAAAAGTACGATAGCCAAACGCTAGGTACCTTGAATTGGGTTGTAATCTACCGTTCCTTTCGGGGAACCTGAAATTTCTGAAATTTGAAGAAGCCGGAATTTTTTGTTGAATAGAAAGCGCCTCTGGTTGATTATATTAACGGGGGAGGGTCCGGTGGGGGATACAATTTTCAAAAGCAGTTGAGAATTGGAGGATACAGTTTTCTATGGGGGTGGGGGGGAGTACAATTGCTTCTTTTGCGTTTTCAACACCATAACAAACCTAAAATGTTTATGAGAAAACTTTTTAAAACCGTGTTTTAAGAGTGGAGCCGTTGTGCGGCTAATATTAGAAACCGTGTTCCTCTCATGCTGCAGGCAACGCGGAATTTCGTGGATAAGTTCGGTCAATCTGTTAAAACACTTTTAAACTAAAGCTGCCTCTGCCAAATTTGTTTTGTCTAAAAATTTTCACGCAAAACAGAGCATTATCATAATTTTGATCCCGGGGCGTTTTTGTGGCTCATGACACGTATGTTGCCATGGTTATAGCTCATTAAGGACTGTATGATAAGTTTGTTAAAAGTTATGATAACTTGAGGTTTCTTAAGTCGCAGTCTAAAATTTAGCTGAAAATAATCTGGTATTAGAAAATCATTTCTGAATTCAAGCGGCTCACCATCGCCTCTCCCACAAGATCGCTCCGACTATTGGCTACAAGCACCTCTAAGCCAATATTTGAATTCATTACCTGCCCACTGAAGTATTGATTGAAAAGCATTGTTATCGTTCGGCTGACCTGCCTGATATAATTTAACGTGTCCGTACGATGGCTAAATGTGTGAACACATTGCTTTAAGCACTTTGTAAAACGCCGACTGAGAGTAAGCGCAAACCTCAAGTTGAAAAGTTTGGCGAACAATTTCTTCTGAGTATGAAGAGAAGTTTCATGGAATAAGACCAAGATGATTTTGATTGTGCATGCTCTGTTCCTCGCTAGCATGGCAACAAACTTTTACTTTTCATATACACTTTTTGTCCACAACGACTCAACAACCTAGTGGTTTCTTGCGGATGATGGTACACGTGTTGTGTGACGCTAAATGCAGCGTTATTCGTTAAGGAAACAAAACTCACAAGGTTACATTACATAACTTTTGGCACGTACGATTACGTACTTTCGTTAGAAATGTGTCGCCTAGCATGTATTGTTGCTCCGTGGCTCCTAATTCAGCTGCGCTGGGGTTGGGTTGCTCATCAGAACCCCCCCTGATGTTCCTTATGATAACCGTTTCTGTGAAAGTCAGTGTCTTTCTTTAACCTTACTTACTGCCGTGGGGGGCACAAACATATCCCCCCCCGCCCCCCCGCACCATACAAACGTTTGTAAATTTTCGAAACTTTGCCTCGCCGGAAGCTATATCTTCGTTCGCTTAAGACGTGTAACTTTTAAATTTGGCAATTTTACTAATTTTAAGGCGCTCTTTCAAGTGATGTCGACGGATTTTCCTTAACTGATCCATGTGAAAAGTTGAAAAAACCACGGAAGGTTCCTATTTATTTGATATGCATGTAGACTAAATATTTGTAAGCTTACCTCCTCGAACACTTTTTTTCAAAACGTTGGCCCGTTTCTCGGCCGATTTCAAGATATAAAAAGATGTATCTTCTTGCAGATACTTCTCAAAAAGTAGACAACATCCATTAAGCAAAATGTTTTGTGTATTGTTGCATATCTTCCGAACGGATGATCAAGTATACAAGAAAAAATGACTCGATAAAATAGCGATTTAGAGTTTTATTTTCGGTACGTACTTAGAGAGAGCTACAAGTTTATTTTCAGCTTACTAGTTTGGTTTTGTCTATAGTCAAGTCTAGTCTACCGAGTCTAGTCTAGTCCAGTTTAGTTTGATCTTGTTTAGACTAATGAATTCGCCAATATTACTAAAAGTCCTAAGAATAAACATGTACAAGTACGGTAAAAAAAAAAAACCCACCTTAAATCAATATAAGAAGAATTAATACGGTTGCTCTGAGTCGGAATACATTATGATCACAGATCATGCACAACTAATTTGAGGTGTTCCAATCCAAGTTCAAACTGTCATCTATCGTTTCATTTTCCAGCTTCTCGATTGCGGTAAAATACTAAATACTTCGTCAGCATTATTTTTTTCCTTCGTTAACAGTGACTGGAATTGCTCCGAACCCGGAAAGAAAAAAAAAACTGGAACATGATGATATTTCCCATCGCAAACAGAACGCTTTAGAACATTTTCATGGTTCTCAGCTTTCGAACTACTCTGTGGCTGGTGATCCTAGGGCAACTTAAATCTTTTTGAAATTACAAGAGCTTCAGTATTAATTCCCAGGAAATTTTAGCTGCAATCTAAAGTTTTAGGAAAGTGATAATTTTTCTGATTCCTCTCTGCATCGCATTTTCGATTCCGAAAATTTTACGTCGGAAACAATTAAACTTCAGAAAATTGTAGGGAATTTGTTAGATAAGCTTCGAAAATTGTACTTGAATGGAAAGGTTTTTAGCCTTCCTCAAGCTATAGAAAATTCCAGACAAGTTTTGCTTCTCCGGACAGATATTTCACAGAAAACAGTCGTTGGGTGCCCCTAAATAAGCGCCGCACCATCCAAGTAAAAAGAGACTAAGCGCACAAGAAGCACGAGGATTTTTTTTCTTGCTTTCTCGCGTCTCGAGCGCTTCTTCCGCTTGCTACAAGAAAACGGAAACGATTGCTACGCAGGCTTATGAAGTATCAAGTATTATGAGAGAGGTATCCATGATCGATTCGAATCGATCATTCCCGTAAGTATCACCTTTTAATCCCATGACAGAGGAACATCGATGTTTTGACGCTTCATCTCGAGTGTAAAAAAAACAAATCACTTGTATAGTAATCCCGTCGAGATTGCAGCATTATAAAACGAAGGTAGATTCTAGTCTGATCTTGTATTGGCCAGTGGAATAAGAAAACGTAAACCAATGACTTCAGGTAAATTCCGCCCTCACGATCTTTGCCTGAAACATGAAGCGAAACTACATCACATTTTAGTATCGGAATGTGATGAAACGCGAAAATAAAGAAAACCAACAACCCTGTATTATCGCTCGCAGTCACCAAAGCAGCTGCAAAGAGTCGACTGCTCAAAACTAATATATGCTTTGCATAGTGTAGAAGTCTATTTTTCATATTCAGCTCATTGTTTCTCCTATCATCATAGTGAAAGACTTCATCAGCAGCTACGGAAGCACGAGCCAAGCTGAGAAAAGACGCAGGCAGGGAAATTATTTTAACAATCGTCACCGATTCCTGTTGAACAGCCATGACGTGTAACTGCATAATAAACTGAGGAGCTGATTCAAAAGCGGCCTCGAACAGAAGAAAATATCTACTGTCGTCACGCCGTAAGTGAACATCGTGTTCTTCCCCGTCGCTGGTCTTATTATCTATTGCCCCACCAGAGTCTCTTCAGGTCGTAAAGAAGCATTTTTAGTTTCACCAAGGCTGGACAGAATGGATGAACGCCAAAACGGAACGCTCGTGTGAGAATCCGTTTGATACTGCGGGACGAGTCTTTATCAGAATATCAGTGGTGGGGTCTCCAAAGCTTAAAATGGCTCCAAAAAGAGCCAAGAAGATGTCGCACCATTTGAGTCCTTTTTCTCCCATTACTTCAGCCTTTTTGAATGACTCACGCTTCCTGTCTGAGATATAGTAGCTGTGTATTGATTGGATATTGTGTGAACCGTCTGACTCTTACATTCATTGTGGTCATGTGCGTTATTAAATGGAAAACTGCTCAGAGTGAAAGACAGCCGAGAGTTGGCATTGAAGTAGATTTAAAAGCAAGTGGAATGTCTGTCACAGACAACAAACTCAGCTCATGAGGAATGTCAGTTTGAAGGTCACGTGATAAGGGAACCAACATCGGTAACAAAGATCTAGACTGACAAGACACTCATCTCTCTCTTAACACACACCTCTATACAGACGGACAACTGGCCTAAACAGACATTTAGAGTTGGTCCTGTCGGCTTTGTTCGCTTTATAAGACGAACATTTCTTGAAAAAACGCTTTCCAAAAGTCAGAACCGGGCCTACCGGACCATTGCAAGACCAGTCATTAACAATGAAAAAAGCTTTATTCCAAGGTCGAGCTTTTGTTGAAACGCCATTTCTCTAATGCATGCTATTTGGGATCTGACTGATTTTGATTAAAAGTGAAGTTCTCATTATGACTGCAGTGGCGGATCCAGACCTTCAGATAAGGGGGCCCCGGTCATCAAGACCCCGACATAAGGGGTGGGGGGGGGGGCGGTCTCAAAAAAAAGACTCTCGGCTCTTCTGCCCTAAGTTTGGTCTAACAATAAGGGGGGCGCGCCCCCCGGACCCCTCCCCTGGATCCGCCACTGGATTGGAATGCTCCGGCCGGTCAGCTGTGACAAATGGAAACCACCCCAAGACTGACACATAATGCGGCTGGTCCCAAAGGTGCCTGCCCTAGAGACAGGTGGCCGCCGTATGTATTCCTCTTTTCTTCCCAAGGGAAAAGAAAACCCGCAGGGTTACTGATGTATAAAACTTCTTATAT